AGGCCCACAAAATATTCAAAAATAAACATAATTAACTGAGGTTTAAATGTTATCTTTCGCCAAAGTGCCAGTCGGCTTGCCAGTCCAAGGACTTCTTGTCTTCACCAGCACACATGCAGCTATGGCAACACCTTGTTATCTCCGTGTCCAGAGCTACCCCCTGTCTGCCTGCTAGCTGAGAGCAGGCTTGAGGAGGCTGGTTTACACTTTATTTTCCTGTTGGGACTGACAGGACAAAGTCACATATTCCTATAGTTTTTGATACTTAATGATTGTGGGGTTTTTTTTCCCCCCTTTATAACAACTTCCAAGGTAAGGAAAATAAAGTCATGTATCAATTACTAGATGGGGAAGAAGAGGCTCATTCAAGAAAGCTTTAGGACATGTTCTTTGGGGGCATGCAGTGTTAGAGACAAAGTTGAGAATGGAGAGCAAAAGGCTGGGGCAACTGGGTGGCTCAGTGGTTGAGCATCTGCCTTCGGCTCAGGTCATGATACTGGGGTCCTGGGATCGAGTCCCACATCAGGCTCCCCACAAGGAGCCTGCTTCTCCTCTGCCTGTGTCTCTGCCTCTCTGTGTGTCGCTTATGAATAAGTAAAATCTTAAAAAAAAAAAAGAAGAAGAAAGAAAAAGCTTAGCCATAAGGAAGATGTTGTTATTAATACTTTTCCATTCATTCAACGAACATTATTGGTCACCTGTTATGTGCCAGTCAACATGCTAGGTAAGGGGTTCCTAAACTTTTTGGTCTCGGGTTCACTTTTGTACTGTTAAAAGTTATTGAAGACTCCGTGGAACTTTTATTTGTATTCTATCTGCCAAGAGTTACTGTTTAAGAACTCAAAACTGAGGAATTTTTAAATATTTGTTAAAAATAATAAACCGGGGGAGACTGGGTGGCTCATTTGATTAAGCGTCTGCCTTTGGCTCAGGTGATGTTCCCAGGGTATGGGGATTGAGCCCCATGTTCGGCTTCCTACTCAATGGGAAGCCTGCTTCTCCCTCTCCTTCTGTCCCTACCCCACTTGTTCTCTCTCTCTCTCAAATAAATAAATTAATAAATGAATAATCTTTTAAAAATTCATAAACCCACTACATGTTAACACAGCACTTTTAGGGGTGTCTGGCTGGTTCAGTGGTTGTGCCTTCGGCTCAGGTCACGATCCCCGGGTCCTGGGATCAAGTGCTGCATCGGGCTCCCTGCAGGGAGCCCACTTCTCCCTCTGCCTGTGTCTCTGCCTCTGCCTCTCTCTGTGTCTCTCATGAATGAATGAATAAAATCTTTTAAAAAAAAAAAACACTTAATGAAAAATTATTTTTCAAAACAAAAAACTGGAGAAGAGTGACCTTGTTTTACATTTTCCCCCCAAGTGTCTTTAATATCTGGCTTTTAATAGAAGACAACTCAAGTCTCCTATCTGTTTTTGCATTCCACCTGTTGCCAGATCACTTATCACGTATCCTGTAGAAGATGCATGTCCACTGTACACTCATGAGAAGATGAGAGTAAAAAAGGAGAATAACAGGGATGCCTGGGTGGCTCAGAGGTTGAGCCTCTCCCTTCGGCTCAGGGCATGATTCTGGGGTCCCGGGATCAAGTCCCACATTGGCCTGCTTCTCCCTCTGCCTATGTTTCTGTGTCTCTCATGAATAAATAAATAAAATCTTAAAAAAAAAAAAAAACTTTTAAGAAAAGGAAAATAACAGCTTTGTAGAAAATGTAGAAACATTTTTTGGCCTTGAGGGCTTCCTGAAAGGGTCTTAAAATGGGACCCCCAGATCATATTTTGGGACCCATTGGTCTAGGTATTGGGATACAGCCCTCGAGGAACTGAAGCCAGCAGGAAAGAACATTTACAGGTACACATAGTGTAGCATGCCGAGTGCTCAAACAGTATATAATAACAGACTTCTGACTGGGAAGGTCAGCAAAGACTTCAAGAAGGAGGTGACATTGGGATCCCTGGGTGGCGCAGCGGTTTGGTGCCTGCCTTTGGCCCGGGCGCGATCCTGGAGACCCGGGATCGAATCCCACGTCGGGCTCCCGGTGCATGGAGCCTGCTTCTCCCTCTGCCTGTGTCTCTGCCTCTCTCTCTCTCTCTCTGTGACTATCAAAAAATAAATAAAATAAAAAATTAAAAAAAAAAAAAAGAAGGAGGTGACATTTGAGTCGGACCTTGAAGCATGACTTGTATAACAGGGAGCAAGAGGGCTTTCTTGGCTGAGAAACAGCGCGAGTAAAAGCAGGAAACCAGTCCAATGTTCCAGAGTATTAGCATACATGAAGGGAAGTTACTCAAGAGAAGTAACTTGAAGTGAAGTGTAGTGGGTGGACAGGCCGTACAGAGCCTTTAGTGTGTAGACAACAGGAAACAAATGTTAGCCAATAAATAACAGATTCTAGCTGACGTTTATACTCCTACTCCATCTGGGTGTTAGAATTAGTTCTCTCACCAACCTGTTGAAAGAAGAATTATTAGCTTCACTGGACAACCAAGAAACTGAGGCGTCAAGGATTTACTTTGCATGCCTGGATCTCTTTTCTATTATTTTTTTCTCTTTTCTATTATTAAGCTGACTTTTATCACTAATATATTTTTCTAAAGTTCTTAGAATTGAAAATGAGGTATTTCCAGAGATATGGATACGATCCTAAGGGGGTAAACCAGAGACTGAGGACCTCTCAGTTTCCTAGAAGGAAGTTGGCTGTTGTTTGAATAGTCCCATCCAAGTGGGAAGAGCAGTCCGCTTCCTCCTGGCTCCCCAAATGGTCTTTGTGCCCTCCCTACCTGCTCGATCCTGCCACACTCTCCCTGGAATAGACATTCGACTTCAGAGGAGTCGATGAGAGACTTTTGGCAGAAATAAAGAAACGGACGAAGACCAACTCACAACAGAGGATCAAATATAGTAATTAAAATTACCAGACAAAATTCTTTCAAAGGATAATGGCCTGTGCGTCCGTCTCCACCTGTTGCATCCCACGTCGCTCTCCACCTGTTGCATCCCACGTCCCTCTCCACCTGCTGCATCCCACGCCCTCTCCACCTGTTGCATCCCACGCCCCTCTCCACCTGTTGCATCCCACGCCCCTCTCCACCTGTTGCATCCCACGCCCCTCTCCACCTGTTGCATCCCACGCCCTCTCCACCTGTTGCATCCCAGTCCCTCTCCACCTGTTGCATCCCACGCCCTCTCCACCTGTTGCATCCCACGCCTCTCCACCTGTTGCATCCCACGCCCTCTCCACCTGTTGCATCCCACGCCCCTCTCCACCTGTTGCATCCCACGTCCCTCTCCACCTGTTGCATCCCACGCCCTCTCCACCTGTTGCATCCCACGCCCTCTCCACCTGTTGCATCCCACGCCCTCTCCACCTGTTGCATCCCACGACCCTCTCCACCTGCTGCATCCCACGCCCTCTCCACCTGTTGCATCCCACGACCCTCTCCACCTGTTGCATCCCACGTCGCTCTCCACCTGCTGCATCCCACGTCGCTCTCCACCTGTTGCATCCCACGTCCCTCTCCACCTGTTGCATCCCACGTCCCTCTCCACCTGTTGCATCCCACGTCCCTCTCCACCTGTTGCATCCCACGTCGCTCTCCACCTGTTGCATCCCACGTCCCTCTCCACCTGCTGCATCCCACGTCGCTCTCCACCTGCTGCATCCCACGTCCCTCTCCACCTGTTGCATCCCACGTCCCTCTCCACCTGTTGCATCCCACGTCGCTCTCCACCTGCTGCATCCCACGTCGCTCTCCACCTGTTGCATCCCACGTCCCTCTCCACCTGCTGCATCCCACGTCCCTCTCCACCTGCTGCATCCCACGTCCCTCTCCACCTGTTGCATCCCACGTCGCTCTCCACCTGCTGCATCCCACGTCGCTCTCCACCTGCTGCATCCCACGTCCTCTCCACCTGCTGCATCCACGCCCTCTCCACCTGTTGCATCCCACGCCCTCTCCACCTGTTGCATCCCACGCCCTCTCCACCTGTTGCATCCCACGTCGCTCTCCACCTGTTGCATCCCACGTCGCTCTCCACCTGTTGCATCCCACGTCCCTCTCCACCTGTTGCATCCCACGCTCTGGGGGCTCAGGATGTCAATAGGACTCGAATGTGTTGCCTGCCGGGAAGCCTATGGGGTGACAGTTCTGAGGGCCACGTTTCTTAACTCCTCTGAGACTTGGATTTGTCCCACGGAAAGGGGACAGAACCTGAGAAACAAGAGCTCACATTTTCATGGGGGATGTATGTGGGTTAGATCCTGAAAGCTGGGTCCTAGACAAAGCTAAATAGCGATTCAGAAACTGAAAACACTGGGGGGAGGGGGGGGAGGATGCAGGATGCATAGGAGTGACTCATTTTTCACTTAAGGGTTTGCACTCTTATGATTCACTCCAAATTGTTTTTTGTCACGTTTTTACTTATTTCTTTGAAAGAGGGGGAGAGGCTGAGCCAGAGAGAGAGGGAAGGAGCAGGGGGAAGGCGAAGGGGCAGAGGCAGAGGGAGAAGCAGACTCCCGGCCCCGCAGGGAGCGTGACCTGAGCCTCCCCCGCAGGACCCTGGGATCGCGACCTGCGCCCAAGGAACGTGCTTCACTGAGTCGCCCTCGCACCCGTCACCGCAAACTGTTAGTTGTGCTAACAGCAGACGCCGAGTTCCGCGGTCCTCCAAGTCCTATCGCGCTGGGGCCTCCTGCAGGCGATCTGCTTCGCACTCACGATACAGGAACCCCGACACGCTAAAGCGTAGGTAAGTGTGCACCCTCGGGGGTGTATTGGGACCTTAAAAGGGCTTCCGGGAATTCTCGCGTTATCTGGAAACGTTCCCCTTTCGCCCGGACCGCGGGGCGGGGGGCGGGGGACGACCGCGCGGGGCCGTCTCCTAGGAGACCACCGAGGACCGAGTGCGCACGCGCAGAGCCCCGGCCCGGCTGATGCAACCTCCGGCGCGCGCGCGCGCGCGCGTGCGCGGGGGGGGGGCGCGGGGCCGGCCGAGAGTAAGGAAGCCGACAGGGGACCGCGCGAGGCCGACCTGCGGCAGCTCGGAGGAGTCCGGAAAGGCCCGCCCGGGGGGTCCTGGGAGTGACGTGAGGTGACGCGGGGCTGGTGGCGTAGGCGGCCGCCATGCTGCGTCCCGTCCTCTAGCCTGCGGCTGCCCCGCTCCGCGCCGGCCCCGCGGCCATTTTGGGCTTCGCGTCGACCCCTGCCCCGCCTGCGCAGCCCTTCCGGGGTCGCGCCGCCAGGGGCTATAAGGGCTCGTCCGTCGGGGGCGGGCGCCGCGGTCGCCGCAGGGGGGGGCCTCGCGCGCACCGGGCGCCCCCGCTCCGCCAGGATGAGCGTCCCCTCGGCCACTGCGCCCAGCGCCTGCCGCCCCGGACCGTGCTCTGCCGCCCGCGGCGGAAGCCGCTCCCCCGCGTGGCTCCTCCGCTGGCCCGGGGAGCGGCCTGGGGCCCCGACGCGGCCGCGCGGCGAGGCCGAGACTGCTTAGGCCCCTCGGGCCCGCGTCCGACCTGCGTCCCGGGGAGAGCGCCGCGCGCCGGGGGATGGAGCCGGCAGCAGACGCCTCGCGGCCACGGCCGGGCTCTCGGCCCCGCCTGCCCTTCCCCCCGCGGCGCCCGCGGCCCGGCCCTGGCGAGCTGCCCGCACCCCCCGCGGCGGGGCAGTCCGGGGCCCGCAGACCGGCTGCTTCCCCGCAGCCGCAGGCGCAGGCGCAGGCGCAGGCGCAGGCGCAGGCGCAGGCGCAGGCGCGGGCCGACCCCTGGGCGAAGCTGCTCGCCCAGCTCCTGGCGCCGCTCCCCTGCGTGCTTCGGAAGCTGCTCCTGTGGGGCCAGGATCCGCGGTGGCTGGATCCTGCCGGGGGCTGCGGCGCCGTCCGAGCGCTGAGGGCTCGGGAGGACGCGGCCGGGCCCGCGGCGCGGAGGCCCGTGTGTCCGCCGCGGCCCGCCCCGCTGGGCAGCCCCGCGGCCCGGCCCCTCGACTGGCTGCCGGAGGGGATGCACTGGCAGCGCCCGCGCCCAGATCCGGGGCTGGGGCTGGGGCTGGAACTCGAACTCGGAGCCGAGGCCAGAGCTCCGGACCGGGCGGCGGGCGCTCTCGTGCCGGGGCAGCGGCTGTGGGCGGTGGAGCTGTTGCCGAGCGGCCTCCAGGCCCAGCTGTGCGCTGCCCGCGAGCTCGGCCCCGCGCCTCCGGGCCGCCTAAGCGCTCGGCGTCTAAGCAGTTTCAGCGCCGTCTCCTGTCGGTCGGGCCCCACCGATGTGCGCTGCTCGCCGCGGGGGCGGCTCGGCTGTCGGAACGGCGTCGGGAGCGGCGATGTAGCCGAGTTCCAGAGCCTCGGCCCCGGCCCCGGCCCCGGCCCCGGCCGCGAGCGCCGCCGTCTGCCCGAGGACGCTGAGGCTCCCGAGCGGCCCGAGGCCGAGAGCGCTTGCGCCTCCTGGCAGGGATGCCCGCCCGCGTCTGCAGAGGGCCGGCCAGAAACCCACCAGCCTCGCTTGAAACGGCTGGACTTCCTCCGGCAGGCCTGCAAGGGGCAAGCGGTGCCCACCCCGGAGCAAGATAATGGCTACCACAGCCTGGAGGAGGAGCAGAACTTGTCCCGGACGGACCTGAAGCCCTGCGGGGACAGCCCCGCGCAGTGTGTTCCCTCTGCTGCACTCGTTCCCGCAACGGCCCGGGGACCCGGCGAGGAAGACCTTGTGTCATTGGCTGAAGAGGCTCCACTTGCTTGGGAGAAACGGGGCCCTTGGGAGGGCTGTCTGCGCGGCCAGGACCCCCTCGGGGTCGGGGACTGCTCGGACCTACAAGGCCACATCCCCGCTTCCACCAGACCGGCCTGTAGCAACAGACTGATAGACTACATTTTGGGGGGGGGTGCGCCCAGTGACCCGGAGACAGGCTCTGACTCCGGAGGTGAGGACCGGGACCGGGTCGAGGAAGCCGGAGACGACGACGAGGACGACGACGAGGACGAGGACGACGACGAGGACGAGGACGACGCCGGTTTTGGTGGTGATGGCTCACTGTCAGAATCAGACCTCGAGCAAGGCCCTGAAGGGCTTCGCCTCTGCAACTCTTTCCGCAGCGTGGATCCTTACGACCCCCAGAACTTCACGGCGACGATTCGGTCCGCTGCCACAGCTGTCCCGGGAGACTCTTCGGACTCGGAGAAGAATTTGCCTGACAAGTCTGATCTAGAGAATTCTCCCCAGACCGGAAGCCTCCCTGGGTCTCCTGACCTCGATCCCGGGGAGGAAGACGACTGGGAGTCTAGTGCGGACGAGGCAGAGAGTCTCCAGCTGTGGAACTCCTTCTGTGATTCCCAAGACCCCTACAACCTTTTAAATTTTAAGGCCCCTTTTCAGACATCAGGGAGAGATTGGAAGGGCTGTCGCGACCCCGAGAAGCCGTCTGAGCCCGCTGTGGCCATTTCTGATGGTCACACCTTCCTGTCTTGTGAGCTGCGACTGTCAGGGGGCCGAGAAAGTGAAGGTCCAGACTCGGTACAGGGCGGAGTTCTTCCTGGAAGGAGACACACGCGTGTCCAGAGAAAAAAGGTTTGTTGCTGTTGTTTTTTTTTTTCTTTTTCTTTTAACATGCCTGGTGACTTCTACTGTTCTGACGCGGTTAAATACAGTAGCATGACTCCCGAAGGCATAAGAGTGTATATTTCGAGGAAGGACTCTATACTTGGATTAAGAAATGACAGCTCCCCACCCCCACCCCCACCGGACTTCGCACCACCGCCTTCTCCCCTCGTGTGGAATGTTGTTCCTATCCAAATAGAAGATGCTGGGGTGCAATAGATGTTAGCGGGAAAGCTCCTTTTTCGTTCGTGTTTGTAGCTCTGGGCTGTTTCCATGCAGTCTTCGACTTTTATGGAACAGAAAAATGACACCTTGTGTGTACACGATTTGATTCTTCTGGAGATTGGTCTGGTCCTGTTATAGCCATAGAGTTTTCAAATGGTATTGATTGTATGTCATTTGCAGACACTTAATATTTCATCTACAGAATGAGTGTCTTCATTCCTCTTAGAGCCCAGAGGGATGGTGATACCGAGTAACAAGTTCACCATGAAAGAAGAGACTAAATTACAATAAATCACAACTTTGTGACATGTACATGATTTTGATTGACAGTAAAAAAAAAAAAAAAGTACGGGGAAATAGTATTGCTGATTCTTGAGAATGCAGTACTAGTTCTCATTGGCCACTTACAGGTCACTGATCATTTGTAACAGTGATGGTTACTTGGTTTATCTTGAGTAGTTGCCTCCTGTTCCGAAGCTAATCTTGAAGCTAGTCTTGAAGCTGCTCTTAAAACTTCGTGGAACATTTTACTCTTTGAAGACATTGTCAGTGTCCTTTGAACAGGGGAAGTCCTTTGAATTGCTTTATTTTTTTTTTCTCTACTGTTTTTTCAGCGGAAGTTAATTAATTGGAGAGAAATTCCCCCAAATACACAGGGTATCTTTTATTGTAGAGGGAAAGTTTCTGTAGTTTACTATACACTTACTTGGAAAGAGAAAGGAGAGTGAATTATTATTGACCTCAGATTCTGCCGCATGAGAAAGTTTCGTGTGGACAGTGCCCTAATCTGTTGGTTCCAGATGGCTAGCTTCATCCTTTGAAACTCTTCCTGGGTAGAAAATATCTCTGCGTGGTGATTACCTTATGTCTTGCCTGTAGAAGCAGAATAAGGCACATTGAATATTTGGTTCACACTTTTTAATGCTGTGATAAAAGATCTTTTTTTTTTGTTTTTAAGGGGACCCTGACAGTGACCTATTTAGTGAATAGGTTAAAGAACAAAGGAACAACGGAATGAGCATTTGGTATCTGGAGGCCTGTGTTCCCTCCTGCTGAGTGGTTAGGGCCAAGAAATTTGGGAATAGGGATCCCCGGGGGGCGCAGCGGTTCGGCGCCTGCCTTTGGCCCAGGGCGCGATCCTGGAGACCCGGGATCGAGTCCCACGTCGGGCTCCCGGTGCATGGAGCCTGCTTCTCCCTCTGCCTGTGTCTCTGCCTCTCTCTCTCTCTCTGTGACTATCATAAATAAATAAAAAATTAAAAAAAAAGAAAAAGAAATTTGGGAATACAGCGGATCTGCAAGGTAACTTGACTTCTCGTGGCTTTGATTCACGCGTTTATCTGCTGAGAGTGACAATTATAAATGTTGTGTGAATTATCGCATGATTTAAATGGGATGACTGTATAAAACTCCTAAATCACCGCCTTAATTGTAGCTGTTACAGTTCCGAGGCCTCAAGCCAGTCTCATGTCTCATTTTAGCTTACTCATTGAGCAAAAATGAGCTGAGTCAAGTAGATGTGAAACTATTGACTATGAACTAGAAGCAACATTTGTCAAAAGATTATGTCTAAAATATGGTAAAATTACTTGGCAGTCTTTGACTACTTGCCTTTCTTTAGGTATATGGGAATGATGGGTAGTGCTTGATTCTTAGAGTGAGACTTTCAGATAGGGGAGTTTAAAACGCCCGTGTGTAGCGACAACATGGTGCCCATTGTGGAGGCACACTCAAGGTTTAAATCCTTATTACTACACCGTAGGGAAGCTGTGTGATTGGAAACCAGGCAGGTATCCATACAATGGAAGTGCTTATAGTAAGTACCGTATAGGGTTTATATGAGGATGAAATGAGATAAAAACTGTAAAGTGCCCCGAAATAAGCCTAGCATGTGGTAAACACTATATAAATGCTGTCGTTATTATTTATTTTTAGTGACACAATGAGTTAGTAACTCTAGAATGCAATATCTAGTAAGATAGTTACATTCCTGCTAATTGTCCTCGAGGGCATTCCTTGGCCTGTTGTAAAGGGAATGAAAGGAGTAGGCCACAGTGGGATTAGCTGATGTAACTATTGAACATATTTTAAAGCATGTATTTACTTTCTTAGTTTGCTGTGTTGTAAAGAAACTTCAATATTAGAAATTAAGTAGGATTGAAAAAAGAAATTAAGTAGGATTAAAAAGGATAGTCATTCATTACATGAAATCATGTGTTTATAGTATTTACAATTTCATATGTATATAGTGATAGCATATTGAGGAGGAATATAAAGAGGGTTTTTTTTTATCTCAACTACAAAGTCTCTTTTAGTAACATAGCCATAAAGATAGGTTAATTTGGCTGCATTTTGTTTACTAAGTAACTTTTCTTATAGTCTGATTACAACAGTAATGATATAAGAGTAATACTACATGTTCATGATGTAAAAATTGCAAAGCACTGAAAAGTGAAATTGTATTTAAAAGGAAAAAGGGGGATGCCTGGGTGGCTAGCGGTTAAGCGCCTGCCTTCGGCCCAGGGCGTGATCCTGGGGTCCCCGGATTGAGTCCCACATCGGGCTCCCTGCATGGAGCCTGCTTCTCTCTCTGCCTAAGTCTCTACCTCTCTCTCTCTCTCTCTCTCTCTCTCTCTCTCTCTCTCTCTCTCTCTCTGTGTCTCTCATGAATAAATAAATAAAAATCTTTAAGAAAAATAAATAAAAATTTAAACAAAGACTAGAAATCGGTGAAGATCTTTTTAAAGCTTTTGTGCTGTAATAAAAGCATTGACTAACATTGACTAATAACTATTCCAGATATTTCTGAAAAATTGGGAAACGTTTGTCATTTCGGAAGAAGAGTGCCACAGAACTGTATTTCCCTGAGTATTAAGAAAAAAAAAAACCCAGAAACTGATGACTTAAGGAAATTTTCAGTTCCCCATCTGGATTCATTTTATTAACACCAAAAGCCAAGAGGAGGGAGGCGGGATGACACGATGACAGATGGGGGGGCAGGAATGTGTGTATATGTGTGAAGGAAATTAAGATGGCATTTGCTCACTTTTTTTTTTTTTTTTAAGATTTTATTTATTTATTCATGAGAGAGAGAGAGACCGAGACACAGGCAGAGGGAGAAGCAGGCTCCATGCAGAGAGCCCGACACGGGACTGGATCCTGGGTCTCCAGGATAACACTGTGGGCCGAAGGTGGCACTAAACCCCTGAGGCAGCCATCCAGGCTGCCCTGCTCTCTCTCTCTCTCTCTTTTTTTTTTTTTTTTTTTTTTTTTTTTTTTTACTAAGTTGCCATCTAATCAATCAGAACTTCTTTTTTTCTTCTGTTAATGGTTCAAACCAAATATTCCTGTAAGATATTTGATATTCTGAAAGTATTAGTAGCAAGAAGGGTGAATTACTTCAATGATGATTTTAAGATCCTAGAGCATGATTAAAATTAGTCTTTGTGTTTATAGGTAACCTTCCTTGAAGAAGTTACTGAGTATTATATAAGTGAAGATGAGGACCGCAGAGGACCATGGGAACAATTTGCACGGGATGCGTGCAGATTCCAGAAACGAATTCAAGAAACAGAAGATGCTATTGGATATTGCTTGACATTTGAGCACAGAGAAAGAATGTTTCATAGACTCCAAGAAACCTGCTTCAAAGGACTTAATGCTTTCAAGCAATGTTAAGATGATTTGACGGCCTCTAACTCAAGCATACGCTAGCTACCTCTTACTTGAGAGGTTTCTTTTACAAAAATTGGCAGCTGTCCTTTTTTTTTTTTTTTTTAGAGGATATGCAACTTGGATCCAGTGACCTAGTTTAATTTTTTTTTTTTTTTTTTGTAACTGATCCCACTCAGAAATGTCCAGGTTTGAAGACAAGTCCTGGTAAATGAAGGATGAGATGGTGTGATTTGTAATCCTCCCTTTTTTGATTTAGTTGGATGTATTTTGAGTGTACTATGCTTGCTGAGGCCAAAAGGGGACCTTTGAAGGTGGGATTTTGTAGTTCAAAATTTATTTCCTTGGGAGACAATATATATAGGGTTCACAAAGCCCATTTTTTCCATTCTAATTTTAAATTATGTGTACCTACCTGAAAACCTTGGGCTCTCCCCATCCAACATTCTAAAGTTAATGGGCTTTTATGTTTTCTCTCTGTATTTTTATTTCAGTGATGTGGTCCTTCTAACTTTGAGGTTAAGAAAATAATCTTGTATATGCTACCAACTTAAATTATTTTGTGTCAAGTTTGTTAAAATGACATTTGTTCTCAAAATGACTTGGGGTGAACGTATGTGGTGGGTTTTTATTTCAAGGTTAAGTTCTACCTGAGATATTTCCAAGGACTGCCACAGAATTTAACATGCGTGGTACTCTCTGCTGCTTGGGAAAAGCTGCATCTTTCTGCCAAATTTTAACCATCTCACACGTTTCACTTCTGTGCAACCTGTTTCTTGGAGTGGGTGCTGTGTGTGTCACTGTCGTCCCAGTTCCATGGTTCTTTGTATGTTTCACGTTGTAAGACTCCAGAAAGGAATAATTGCATCGTAGACATTTCTTCTTTAAATTTAAAAGTCAAGAATTTTCTTAGGAAGGAAGCTAGGAGACTTCTCGGGGCAATTTGGTTTTGTTGTACATGCTCTCGACAGAAGACCAGTGTTATTAATCCCATGCTTCAGCACCGTCACTTTTCAAACCTGTCAGGGTGACACTAGAAACTTGGAAATGGGTAGTTATGAATTTCCCAGTTTGCAGTGTAAAATACAGACTCCGTCAGCGTCCACACCTGTTGTGTTCTACGTAGTGAGAGAAGTAATTTGTCTCTACTTTCAGGAAAGGACAGTACTGTAGACTTAATAATGGCAAGTCTTCCTAATTTTAGCCCAAAGCTTCCTTTTGAATGGAGGGCTTTGCGGGGGCTGGTTGTCCTTGGTTTATGTCCTTGGCTCTCCCTGGTCTGCCTCGGTTAGGCTGAGGCAGTGTTAGCAGCTCCTTGGTGGTCTGTTTTTACCCCCACGTGCCCCTTGTTGTAGGTAATAGAAAACACGAGTAGAACAGGTGACCTCTCGAGTTTGAGCTTATCTCGGTGTGGGAACAGATTTTTTTGTCAGAAGTGCTTGCAGAGTTAACTACCTCAGTTTACAATCTACCCGGTCGTTCTTTTCTATCTGGTTTGCTCTAAGAACTGCCTCCAGCGGTAATAGGTATATCCGTAAACAGCCACGCCCAGAGCACTCAGATTTTTGCAGAGCCCTCATTCAGCGCGTGTTGTGCACCTCCAGGGTAGGTGGTCACAGGGGACACCCTTGCAGAGTCCTGCTCTAACACCGTGAGGACAGGCTGGTTTCTGGCACCAGCTGTGTCAGCTGGAAAGAAGGCATCCTCTGCCTTAAAAAGCGCTTTCTGAAAATGTATATTCATCCTTTTAAAACCAGACTGAAGTATATACTGTTTTACTTCACAGGCTTAGTCTGAAATCTAGCACCTCCGCATATTTGAAAATAATGGGATAGTTTGACATCGACTGGATTTTAGAGACTTGTTCCCTTGGGATTCCAGCCTCACCACCAAATGAGTAGAAGCTTGGTGAAGGATTCTCCCATTTACTACCCTCCTTTAAAAGAAGTGATAGAGACAGGGCTGTTTTTTAAGTTGGACTGAAGGAGAAAAAAATTCTTGTCCTTTCATCCCAATCCTAGTTGTTAGAACACAGTTAAACTTGGAAGTTGTGATTGAACATTGTACACATTTTAAGTCTTGCAATGGTGCTTTAAGTATCAATGTAGCATGTGAAAGGCGTTGTATAGACAGGTAAAATTTCCTTTTCTGAGTGTCCAATGTGATAACAGCACCTCTTCATCTTTAACTTGAAATCAAAACTATCAGATTTTATTTTTGTATAATTTAAGGAAGGTGAATTTAGGGGACTGACTAGAAGACTCTAAATTGGCTTCTACAGATCCAGTGACTTAAATGTAACCAGTTTGTTGGGATTTTATAGCTAAAATTATATTTGTGTATATAACTTTAACTAATCTGTAAATTGTAATAAATATATTTGCAATTATTAAATGTTACATGATATTTTGGTTCAAGTTTATTCTTTTTAAAGATTATTTATTTATTTATTTATTTATTTATTTATTTATTTAATTATTCATGAGAGACACAGAGAGAGGGAGAGGGAGAAGCAGGCTTCCCTGCAGGGAGCCTGATTCAGGACTTGATCCCAGGACCCCGGTATCATGACCTGAGCCAAAGGCAGATGCTCAACCGCTGAGCCACCCAGGTGCCCCTCAAGTTTATATGTACTAGTATTTTACATTAGTTTTGGACTTAACTGAGCAGAGATTAAATCAAGTATTTCCATAGAAGCACTATAAATTTAAGAGGTACTGAACAAATTGCTGTGGTATAAAAAGGTTCTGTGACGTGGAAATTGCACCTCAGCTTATTGAAGGGGAGGAGTTTTATTTTTTTATTATTTATTTTTAAGGTTTTATTTATTTATTCCTGATAGACCTAGAGAGAGAGGGAGAGAGACAGGCAGAGGGAGAAGCAGGCTCCATGCTGGGAGCCCAATGCAGGACTCGATCCCGGGACTCCAGGATCACGCCCCGGGCCAAAGGCAGGTGCCAAACCACTGAGCTACCCAGGGATCCCGAAGGGGAGGAGTTTTAAAGGGATAAATAGAATTGCAAACTACATTTAAATTTTTTTTAATTTATTTTTTAAGATTTTGTGTATTTATTCATGAGAGACAGAAGCAGAGACACAGGCAGAGGGAGAAGCAGGCTCCCCGTGGGGAGACCAATGCAGGACTCGATCCCAGGACCTTGGGATTACAACCTGAGCCAAAGGCAGATGGTCAACCACTGAGCCACCCAGGTGCCCCACAAACTACATTTTAATAGGAAATTTTGGTTCTTAGAGTATGAAATGCCCTTCTTAGAGACTGGGGATTTGATTCAAAAATTGGCCCCAGTCATCCACTTCTGCTATAGAGAAAACTGTAAAATAGAGTAGGCACAGAAGCAGTAAAATAAATTCACATGCTGGGCTTCATGCAGCGTTTCTCTGAAGTAGTAGGGAAATCAACTTTTCTCTAATTGGTGAGTTACTAATAATGATAACCATAGTATTATAAATCATGGCGCACTCCCATTTACAGTGTTGCATCAGGAAAATCAAACTTCGTACCCTGAAGAAACATTTGGGTCATAGCAAGCCTGTTCGTGGATTAAGGCATAATAGCATTCTTCGTTTAGGTACTTAGATCTTCCTAGTTAATGAAGAAAATTTATTACAGATCTATTTCTGAACTGGAAGGAAAGAAACACAGTTGCAAATAATCAGTATTTAGTACAAATTGAATTGATGGCCCCAGGTTATACCTTTATTATCAAGTTGGAGTTAATTTAAGCATTTTTGGTTATTTCCAGGAACGTTTATGAAAATAGCCATATTCATATCAAGCCAGATTTGTTGCTATGACTCTTGATATCATAGAAATTGTGCTTCCCCCCCCCCCATTCTAATACTTTAAAGCAAATGTTAATTGCTGACCTCAAAATTTGACAGTTAAAAATTTAGGAATTTGGAGACTTCCTTTAGCTCCTTTATGTACCTTTTAAAAATAATGGAATTATCTTCAGTTTTTTTTCTCACACAAAAATGTTATTTATGAAAGTATCTAATATAGAAACCTATAAAAGCATTCTTATGTTGTAAAAAAAAAAAATAAGTATGCTGCCCAGTTCACCTTTCTGAGGTGAGGGACTTAATTTTTTTTTTTTTATGTATTAAGAGGTTTTGCTATTTCTTCATTTTACGGACTTTAACACAAATGTGAGTTGTTTGGAATCCTTCTTTTGGTAATTGGGATCTTTTCCTTACTGACACAGTTTGAATGCTTTGTGATCAATACAAAGCATCAGTCTTTTTCTCCCTGATTTGCTCCAGGGAGGCTAAGTTTGTGTGGGTCAGTTTTGATTTTAAGATACAAAGGTAGCGTGGTATCAAGACCAATAGCAATAGGGGTAATCAATAGGATAAATAGATCTAACCTGGCTCACTTTGAGGATTCATCAAGTAAGACTTAATATTGTTTTTAATATGTTTTAGTGACAAGTTTGCCAATCAGGGATTTTAAAGAAGAAACCATTGTACACATGGAATGGAGAATACAGGGGGAGGTGGGAGTATGTGTCACTTTATAATCATTTGAGTTGCATCACAGTATCAGCATGGGCAGACTTCTTAATCTCACCAGGGAAGATAAGGGAAACCAGGTTTATGAAAAGTGGGTTGCCTGACCCATCGGGAAGATACCCTCGGGATCTGATGAGGACAGGTTAAGAAAGCTGGACTACACGGGACGACTTGGGAGTGATTTATCAGGTTTGCTTCTTTTATTATTTTATTTTATTTTCATTGAAAAAATATTTTTGAGGGGCACCTGGGTGGCTCAGTGGTTGAGCATCTGCCTTTGGCTCAGGTCTGTGATCCCAGAGTCCTGGGATGGGGTTCCTCGTCGGGCTCCCCACAGGGAGACTGCTGCTCCCTCTGCCTGTGTGTCTGCCTCTCTCTGTGTGTCTCTCAGGAAAAAATAAAATCTTAAAAAATATATTTTTTTCACCTCTCCACCTTTGGGGCTCCTCAACCCAGGGTTTTGTTCTTTTAATCTTTTACTCTTCCCTTCGTCTTAAGGCTATCCTTGTCTCCGTCTCCTCCCCCTTTTATTTGCATATATATACATACCTATATATAACATATATATGTTTACTATTATTTTATAGATCCTTCCCTAGGAGATGAAGGATGAGGACCTCCACAGCAAAAGAACAGAACAGTACAATTGCCAGAGGTGTGCATTCATTAGAGATACTATCCACCAAGAGAGAAGAAAGGACCTCAGGGTTCTTAACTCTCTCCAGAGCTTGCTACATACTTTCCCATCAGAATGTTAGGTTACCATATATGTGGCTTGGGACTGGATTAATTTTCAGAAATATCCCAAAGACGTTCAGGGTCAGAGAAAGAGGTGATGGTAAAGCTGCATGCAGTAGGCTGCTTTGAGTTAAATCTGCCTTTCTTTCTGATATTTGGTGGCTTTCTTTTTTTTTTTTTTTAAGACCTTATTTTTAAGTAATCTCTACACCCGACATGGGACTTCATAACTCTGAGATGAAGAGCCATATGCTCTCAGACTGAACCAGCCAGGTGCTCTCAAGCCTGCTTTTTTTTTTTTTTTTTTTTTTTTTTTTTTTTTTTTTTGATGGAGTTCATACATTGTCTCAGAAGGCAAAAACCAAAGAAAACTCATATGGATATATATTTGGGAATGGTTGTCCTTTCTTTCTTTCTTTCTTTCTTTCTTTCTTTCTTTCTTTCTTTCTTTCTTTCTTTCTCTTTCTCTCTCTTTCTCTTTCTTTTTTTACATTTTTAAACAATTTTTTATATTTATTTTTTTTATTGGAGTTCAATTTGCCAACATACAGCATAACACCCAGTGCTCATCCCATCAAGTGCCCCCCTCAGTGCCACCCAGTCACCCCCACCCCCCGCCCACCTCCCTTTCTACCACCCCTTGTTCATTTCCCAGAGTTAGGAGTCTCTCATCTTCTGTCTCCCTTTCTGATATTTCCCACTCATTTTTTTTCTCCTTTCCCCTTTATTCCCTTTCACTATTTTTTATATTCCCCCTTATCTTTATTTCTTAAAAGATTTTATCCATTTGAAAGAGACAACGAGGTCAGCCCGGGTGGCGCAGCGGTTTAGCACCACCTGCAGCCCGGGATGTGATCCTGGAGACTCGAGATCGAGTCCCGCATCGGGCTCCCTGCTCCCTGCTCCCTGCATGGAGCCTGCTTCTCCCTCTGCCTGTGACTCTGCCTCTCTCTCTCTCTCTCTCTGAATAAATAAATAAATAAAATCTTTAAAAAAAGCTGTTTTTAAAAAAATGAAAGACAACGAGAGAGAGCATGAGTAGGGGGAGGGGCAGAGGGAGAGGGAGAAGCAGACTCCCGCTGAGCAGGGAGCCCCATTCGGGGCTGCACCACAGGACCTGGAGATCATGACCTGAACCGAAGGCAGACGCTTAATGGACTGAGCCAGGCACCCCTATTTTTTTTTAAGTAGGCTCCACGCCCACCGTGGGGTCCAGCACAGGGCTTGAACTCATGACCCTGAGATCAAGACCTGAGCTGAGCTTGAGTTGAATGCATAACCATCTGAGCTATCCAGGTGCCCCAGGAATGATGCTCTTTAAAAACATTTCATCATGAGGTGGCCCTTGGTAGCTCAGTTGGTTAGGCATCTGCCTTTGTCTCAGGACATGATCCTGGGGTCCCAGGGTCAAACCCTGCATTGGGCTCCCTGCTCAGCAGGGGGTTTGCGTCTCCCTCAACCTCTGCCTCCCCCACCTCTGCTCATGCTCTCTCTTAAATAAGTAAATAAAATCTTCAAAACATTCTCATCACCAGAAGAGCTCTTCTTTGGATCTCAAAACACCTCTAGGAGACCTCTCAGGGACCTACCCACAACCCTTCCTTTCCCTTTCAGTTTACCCTTTTAAATTATGTTCATTCTGACATCTTGCTAACATTTTCACCTGTTTTGTGGGTGCTGCAGCTCCACTAACCTGTAAACTCTGTGAGAGCAGGGTTTGTCTCTGTGTGTCTTGTTAATGAGTCCAGAGCCTAGAACTGTGCCTAGTGTGTAGATTTGAATGTGTTGGAGCACCTGGGTGCTTCAGTCAGTTAAACATCTGCCTTTGGCTCAGGTCACGATCTCAGGGTCCTGGGCTGGAGCCAGGCCTGCATCAGGCTCCCAGTTCAGTGGGGAGTCTGCTTCTCCCTCTCCCCCTGCTCATGTGCTCTCTCTCTCTCTCTCTCTCTCTCTCTCAAATAAATGAATAAAAATCTTAAAAAAATTTTTTTTTGAATGAGTTAATCACTTTCTTTTCTTTTCAAGTTTTTTAAAAAAATACTATCTGGGGATCCCTGGGTGGCGCAGCGGTTTAGCGCCTGCCTTTGGCTCAGGGCGTGATCCTGGAGACCCGGGATCGAATCCCACGTCGGGCTCCTGGTGCATG